TGGCGGCACATAAGATGGTGAAGGAGGGAAAGCCCAATAAGGTGGATTGGGCAGGGCTGATGTGGGCTTTGGTGGAGAAGGAGATTTTGGGGGCGCCGGAGAGTGGTAGTTGTTATTATGCTTCGCATTTGCAGTGTTTGATGAAATTCCAGAAGCCGAGGTTGTTTGAGGAGATGGAGGTTGAAGGGGAGGCGGAGGTGGAGCAGTCGGAGGCGGCTACTATGGAGGAGGCTGAGGAGGGCGGGGATGTGGGAAGCGAGAAATGTGGGCCCGGGTTGAGCTTGGGCATTGCTGAAGATGGTGAAGAGAGTAAGAAAGTCGAAAAAGAGGAGGAGCATCCGATTTTGGATGGAAAAGATACAGGTGAAGAGCATTGTGAAGAATTGAGTACAGAAGAGCATTGCTTGAGAGAAGACGGCTTGAACTGTACTTTGGGGGCTTCAAGTAAAGAAGAGCAAAATGAGGGAGAAAGAAGGGAAGTTGACAGCTTGTGTAAGGAAGAAGAAGATGAGGGTAAAAAGGTGGACACTTTGTTTGATGATGTGCTTGCCACAGCGAAATTCCCGACTCTAGAGAGGATAACTTCGTCAGATTTTATGCAAGTAATGGATACCAATAATAGCCTCTCGTTTGGTCTTGATCAGTCAAATGGAGAGTTTTTGGGTCTGGGGAGTGATATGCACGGCAAGAGCATGGAGCTCGACATGGGAAATAGTAGTGGTTCTTTCTTATTTGGCAATGAAAGTAAAAGACCTGTTGATGAAATTGATGATCAAGATAATGGGTACCCCCAGAGCCTTCAGCAGAAAAGACCTCGAAATGATCAGCCTTGGGAGCAAACTCCAACCATCGCAGGCTTTGATGGATGCATTGAACAACTTCACCTCACAATGGGGAGAGCTAGGATGGATCTAGTTGAAAAAGAGCAGGCTTGCATTAATGTCCAAGCACAAGTCCAATGCTTGAGCGGAGTGGTACAACAGAAGGATGCGCGGATTCAGTCTTTAGAGAAGACAACTATGGAAGAGATGCAGAAGAGACAGATTGAGGCTAACCGATTTAATCATGACCTTAGAACTTTAAGCAGTGTACTGTTTGGTTGCAAGAGAGCTTTGAAGGACACTCAAATTGCATTTGCTGAGTACAGAAAGAAATTTCCATTGGATAGTGAGCAGCCTAGAGAGTGTAACAAGGAAGACACTGATGATTTATGTGATAAGGGATTGAAAAAACCTTGTTCAGAGAAAGAGAAGGAAATGCGTCAATGTGTTTGGAAGATGATTAATGATGAAAATAGGAGTTGGTGCGACAAGTTTCACAAGTATTCTACCTCAGTCTCTGCGCTTGCTACTAGATTGGTGGGGGTTAATGAACAATTGAAACTTCTTAAGGGAAGGATGGCCGAAGCCAAGGATCACCGTATTTGAGTAAGCCTTCAAAAGTACTTTGTAACTTGACTTATGCTGTCATGCACGTATAATCATGTTGTGTATCACCAATGACATGTTATTATTTAACTCTACTGAAATGTTAGGTTTAGTTTTCCACAGCCCGAGTTCAATCATCCCCGAGCACGGTACACTAGCAAATTGGGTCCCATTCCCACAGGATCCAATTTGACAACTTTGGCGACCCGATTTAGAATTCACATTAGTTAATATTTGAAAGAAAACAAACATTTTCGGTAATATAACAACAAAAAGTGTACCTTAATTGCAACTTGAGAACTCTTTTTATCATTGTTGATCCTTGAATTTGACTCTTGAGGAATATTGTACATTAGACACTCAGGTTTCTACATTTAAAGACTGAACATAAAGCGTACGATGTTCTCTAGCATACCATATAAGCCTATACCCTGATTTCGAATTTGACTCTTGAGGAATATTGTACATTAGACACTCAGGTTTCTACATTTAAAGACTGAACATAAAGCGTATGATGTTCTCTAGCATACCATATAAGCCTATACCCTGATTCCACATAAGTGTCGTACCATGCTCCCGTTCTCATCCTGGAAACCGGAACGAACCGGGTTTCATTCAACTATGGCACCAGGCTACCAGCTGGCTAAACATGTTCAAGTATAGGTTTGATAAACCATGAATTAAGTTGGAGCTTATAATAAGAATGCCAGCTACTTATATGAAATGTGTGTGACATCCCAACCCCAATAGTCTCACATCGATTGTATGTGTGAATATATATAGGTTTATATAGTCAGTCAAGGGAGCCAACTAGCGAAGTAGCAACAATGGCTAGTCATTTTTGGCATCAATTGTTTGTGGGAATATTGATGGGTTTATAACTTAAGTCATGAGAGTCAAGTGCAACATTAGCTCGTCACTTTTGGCTGTGAATCAAGCCAAACAATGTGTTGCACACAATGACTCATGGCTTACATCGCGTCTACAGGCTTGCAAGTTGAGGGCATGATGAAGAGTATCAGAACGGCTAGAAGTGTATAACTAAGTGTTATGTAGGGTTCAGTGCTACATCGCATGAGCAAACCGTAGGAGCCACCTCTAGATTTCACATCATCTATTGGTGATATTGGGATAAATCATTGATTCATTGTCATACTGTTACGAGGACTGCGTATTTAAGGTGAAGTGATTGTGCTGCTGCAACCCCGATAGCCTCACGTGTCATGTGTAGGAATAATAGATGGGTTTATATAATTAGTAAAGGGAGGCAACTAGCAATAGTGGATAGTCATTTTCAGTAGTTTGAGTCAAACAACATGTTGCACTTAGTGGCTACTAGCAATAATAGATTGGTTTATATAATTAGTCAAGGGAGGCAACTAGCAATAGTGACTAGTCAGTAGTTTGAGTCATGTTGCACTTAGTGGATCTTAGGGCTTACACCGCGCCAACAGGCAACAGGCTCATGGAACAGGAGCATGACACAAAGACTGTGTGTATCAATATGAATATTAAGCTTGAACTATATTAATTTGTTAATGTAATTATTGGGTTTGTGGCATCATTTGACAAAAGCAATAGTAGTGATGCTTTTTGTCTAAGGGTGCTAACAGTTTAGATACGGTACGGATATGATACCTACCATATATGTATATGCTTACCAATCACTAATATAGATACAAATATAAGAATGTCTCAATAAGAAAAATTCATATTCATATATGTTAGAATTGGATACATATACGAGTATGAATGAAGGTATATATTCGGATACACGTGCGGATAGAAAACCAAATAACATTGAGAAAAAATGTCGTTGATATGATACAAGAGAGTTCATGAATGTTTTCGTTATATTTGAAAAGATACAGATTTCTTCTTTTTTTTTCCCTTTTTTTCTAATTTGGTACCTTTACTTCTGTCCCAATTCTTGTGGTCAACTGTGATTATCTTATTGATAATATTTTGCTCTATTAAGGGCCTCTCCTGATATCTTTAAGGTTTGTGCCACATATTGTAGGTTATCACTCCTCATTCATCACCTACCCACATTTTGTTATACATTATCTTATAGATTATCACTTACCCCACATTTTGTTGCACATGTTCGTGCTAAAACGATCTTTTCCTTAATACCATTCATTGATGCTACCTGAAGGCGTACATTCCCATTCTACTTTTTCTTTATCCTCTCTTCGTATTCATCCCACTCAATATCATTTTTTTTTAGTATCCTCTTTTCCATGTGCTTATTGGTTGCCGCCACTATATCTCTACTCTCTGGACCAAGGGCCATGTTCTACAAAAATGTTCAAAATATTTTATTAAAAAAAACATATGGCAGCTATCTTTGGATGTTTCACTTTATAAGTACTATTCCCCTTCTAGTACTAGCTCTCAGTTTGGGTTATATCATGAAAACTGCTATCAATAGCATGCCGCATTTCTTCTAATAGCATCGTCAGAAAATGTTCCTCACCCACTTTCTGTCTTGAAATATATATAGCTTCATGAATTAGAATAACATCGCCAGAAAATGAAATGCCGATGATACAATATCTTAAATAATGCAGTAGCAGCAATAAGTGCATACAGCTTACTAATGTGTCTTATGTGACCTATGTTAATAGGGGCGTCTGTATCTCCAATTATTTCTCATATCCTTCACTATATCTTAACATGCCATAAATTACCTTAATTAAAACTATTTTTCCATGTAAGATATTCCACATAGTTCTCTTAAGGATTGAAAGAAGAAACCTAAAACTATTTTTCATGCATATCAGCTTATATGTCCGCATGTATATTTGTATCCGTATCTGATTTCAGCGGGTATGGATGTGAATTTTCCTTACTGACATATGTCTGTATTCGTATCCTTAATGGGTAAACGGATATGGACATGATAAGTATCATATCTAGACCAAATGCACTCCCACACAGGACTTGATGAGGGATAAACTGGTGGGAGAAAAAAAAAATCTCCCACCTTGGGCCAACTCTGTGGTATTGCTATTGCTATTTGTCGGGAAATTTGAGCAGTCACCGACCGTGAACGGTCAATATCTTGCTTTTAGCTACCTTACGAGCTTTAGCTATCTGTTGCCGGTGTTGGTCTTCAGGGCTTTTGCTGTGATGTATGTGCATTTTTGTGAGATTCAACCAATCACCTCTTGTACTATCTATTATTTACTTTTTGTCAATGTTTTAAAAAACCTCGGCCTAGACTTAGGTGGTACCTAGGTTACTTGCTTAGTGCCTAGCACCTAAGTGGTTTCTACGCTAGCACGTGGATTTTGTGAGCACTTAGGGAGGCATGGGCTGCTTTTGTGGACTACGTTCTTGAAGCTTTAATCATGATTTTCCTCCGTTTGCAGCCTCCATGTCCTCCAACCTCCTTCGAACTCTTTTACCTTCCAACTATGATCAACCCTACCTTCTCCGACTTTCAGTAAAATCTCCTCCCTCCACCACTTAAAAGAAGAAAGAAATCTATCTAGGCATCAATCTAACATATGCATCTACTATCAATTATTACAACTAAAAATAAATAGGAAAACCGCCTAGGTCCCACCTAGGTGCCTAGACTCCAGGCATCGGGTCGAGCGCCTATGCCGCATAGCTCTTTCTGTAACCTTGCTTTTTGTATTGTAAAAAAATTAACCAATGATCGAATTGCAGTGCCACACGATTTTTTTTTTTTAAATTGAATTAGATTTCGCAGATCTGTGAGTCTGACTTTCCTGTAATGCCCGATACCAGCTGTGGCGATCCATTCCAACCATCAAACATCACTGCTAGTTACACTAAAATGACCACCCCATTTTAGAGTTGCAACACAGCAGCTATAATCTAGTTTTCACACGCAAGAGAAACATCAGAAACATAGACATTGCTAAATAACTACAAGCAGCACCTCTCTTATTTGTTTGTCCTAGCAGCCAACACCACAGGAAATGCGACAGCTCCCAAAATTCCAGCTACAATCCCAACCAGCACATTGGACTGACATAATCAAGGGAATAATTATTTCCAATTACAGATGCCTTTTTATTCAATCAAAATAGCTTTATCAATCCAGAGGCAAACATATTTCTCTATAAAATCACTTATTTAACTCGAAAAAGAAAAACAAACGGACTTCAGTTGGTAGTATGAATACATGATTCTCATTTAATTAAGCTTAAATAGACAAGCAGATGGATCTGTATCCTAGTTTTACTAATAAATTTAGTTTTACAAAAAAAATTCATTCATGGAAGAAAATTGAATACGCACCAAATTGCTTGTGCACTTAATACCATGCCTGCAGGAAGGCACCTTGACACTTTTCATTCTTCCTCCAATACTTTGATCCTTGCTACTTTGCTAGGATATATTACTGCCTACAAGGAGAGTTTGGTACATAAACCGTTTTGATGTTCAAGCCATCTAAGAGTTCCCTCCAAAATGAACTAATTGCCTCTGATTTTTCAAACTGCAAAGTTTCAGCTGTAATTTCGTCCCATTAAGTTCTCACTGTAGAGTGCAATAATCTGATGGATGTTTGAAGGGATTTGCACAAGACAGCCATCAAGCAGAGTATGGACATTGCTGTAGAATAAGGAACATGTACAACTTTTAAAAAGTACCACACTAAAAATTGTATGCATATGAGAAGCATGTTTCCCAAAATTTGTTTACTAAGTTTTCAGGTTTCTTTACCATTCTTTCTAAAATGCCAAATTGCAAAGGTTTGAATCAATCTAGACCATGCAAACACACATTATACAGTTCAACTGCTTTCTAGTTTTTCTGAGTCTATAACCTTGACTAAGAGCCTCATTCTTTCTTTCTTTTTTTATTCCCTTTATTTGTGAATTTTCCCCCTTTTCTTGTTCATGCTATGTTGCACGTCTGCAATTTTTACAATCACCAATCTTTTTTTTCCTGGATATTATTGTTTCTAAGGATATCTATGTTTTGAATTTTTTTTTATTCTATGCTGTACATCTGCAATTTACACAGGTTCCAAATCTTGATTTTCTTTAGATATTCTTGTTTCTAAAGATATCTCTGTTTTATAATCCATTTACACTAATGGTGTTGTCATCTTTATTAAAGTAAACATGTGCCGTTGTTCTTCATTATGAACATTGCAGCACAACCATCAAGCTGAGATCAATTTGGAAGTATCATCCACATCTAGTATGATGTATACATGGTATGTAATGTGTTATATTTCTAGCTATCAATAACCACTGTTTCTTTTATGAATGAATTAAGACCCTAGCATTGAAATATGGTTTTAGACCTGCACTGTCATATACTTGTGAAGGGAACTAGCAAATTTGTAATCATTAATGTAAAATATTCTACTTTTTTTAAATAACTAGCCTGTATGTTTCTTTATCCCATTCACCTATCAAGAAAAAACAAACTAAACAGAGGTGCCATGCAGATACTAAAAACCAATTGGGCGGACCACATCAGGTAACACCGAAGGATACATGAGGAAAAAAGTGACAAAGGTACCTTTCACTTAAATATCTTTCTGGCCAACATTAAATTTCGCAATGAAGAAACCAATGGTGTCAACTGAAGACGAGGGATCAAATCTCTGAACAAGTTCTGCTTCACTTTCAGTTAACCATTCCCTGCAAAACCAAACATAAATTATTTTTAAAATATCCAAAGCTTAAATGGATGGGTATGGGGAAGATATACATGAAGAAACCGAAAGGGATTCCTCCAGGCCTCAAGGATTTAGATAACTCATTTGGGAAACTGAGGAAAAAATAAAATAACAGCAAAACCAGTATCCTACTTTTTCCTTTCTTTGGTCATGCAGGAAAAATAAAGATAATAAATATATTAAACTAACAGAAATGAGGTGTGATCTCTGGACTCGTCAAAGCTTGTTTTTGGGGATACCATGTCAGTCCAATTATTCACAAGCTAAAGCAAATGGGTAACAGGCTGACAATGTATGTCAAGTAACTAACCTCAACATCACTGATAACAGTTAACAATGGGCTGCACAAATAGCTTCATAGGGGGAGGAAACTTCATTATTCTAGAGATACTTCATTCTTTTTTTTTTTTTAATCTCTCATTTGCAGGCACTATAATTTATATATTTCTATATGTGATGCAGGGATCACGATCTCCAGTTTATAACCAAGTTACTAGGGGAACAACCAGAGTCATCACTCAATCATGTCTATGAATGTGCCTTAAAAAATTTGCCCTACATTAAGCTATAATCCCCTTGCACTTTCATATTAGAATACGAATCCCTCAAGCCAATTATCTACAAGCTTAAGCCAATGGGTAACAGGTCGACAATGTATGTCAAGTAACAAACATTAACATCACTTTAACAGTTACCAGTGGGCCGCACAAATAGCTTCATAGGGAATAGAAAATTCATTAATCTAGAGATACTTCATTCAGTTTTTTTATTTAAAATCTCTCATTTGCAGGCACTATAATTGATATATGTCTATATGTGATGCAGGGATCATGATCTCCAGTTCATAACCAAGTCACCAGAAGAACAACCAGAGTCATCACTCAAGCATGTCTATGAATGTGCCTTAAAGAAGTTGTCCTACATTAAGCTATAACCCCCTTGCACTTTCATATTAGAGTACAAATCTCTCAACCTCTTCGCAAACACGAAGGACGAACGCAAGGGACATTTTGAAGTAGTAATAATTAATATGACTTGGAATTTTAGTCCTGCCTACTAACTTTATCTGGAATCATTTTGATTGAACAATGTAAGGACGCAGATACTGCTTGCAATGAGTTGATCTATCCTGGAGATGTCAACTGAAAGATGTATATAGCTACTTTCTTAGGAGATGTTCCGCTCAAATAAGGATACGTGTTTATTTTTAAGCATAATTTAAAGCTGGTAGAATACAGCGGGTAAATGGGATAAAGAAACCAGCAGGCAACTTTGGGTACAAGTGATCATGAAGCCCATCAAGATTCGAGCAATTTGAAGAAGTCAGAGCCTCTTCAAGTCATCTTTAACACTTAAACAACAGTTAAGAGCCTCTTTTGGGGGGTCAGAAAAATTTCCTACGACTTGTTTCTGATATGCACATGAACATAGGATTTGGAACCCAATGCTCAACTGCATGCGTGCATGCTCAATCATTAACAAAGAGACGCTTTGTAGCAAAAAGTACTAGTTTTGTGAACCTTTCATGTTTATTTTAAACTTAGGTATAATTTGCATGTGGAATAGAATCAAAACAACTTAAAGATGTTACAGAAGATCCAATATGTATGGGATCTGCATAATGAAAGATGATGGAAAAAAGGACAAATGTAGACTCTTCAGGACAGAGGGGTGCTATCATTTTCATTGCTAGTGATTGGAGACATATGATGTGGTAGAAGCCTAGTATACTGATATGCACAAGGTGGTAAAACCACAGTTGCCAACAATACATAAATACTGAGAACGACCTTTTGCAGTCCTTGCGGATGGTCAAGTATGAAGATTCTCCCAAGTCACTTATGAAGCAAAAGCAAAAATGGAGATAGATCAAAAAATACTTCATGTTGAAGTGTACAGGGTGGTTCATAAACTGCAAAAAGCATCACGGCCAACTAGATGGGCCAACTTTGTTAAAAGTAGTCTAACCTTTATATTTTAAGGGCTTACCCTAAATTCTATGCAGCACATTGTCATTGCTCCAGTTTAAACAGACAAAAGCAGGTTTTTGTGAATTGATGAACACTTTACCTCATCACATCAGAGCATCATGATCTTGCTGAAAATAGTCTTAACCTTTATATTTTAGAGGCTTACCCTAGATTCTATGCAGCACAGTCATTGCTCCAGTTTTAACAGACCAAAGCAGGTTTTGTTCATTGATAAACACTTTACGTCATCACATCAGCATCATAATCTTGCTATAAGTCAGCTTAGGCTGAGTTGTTTTTTTTTTTTTGTTTTTTTTTTTTTTTTTTTTTTTTTTTTTGCATCTACATCAGCATGTAAGTGGAATACAATATTTGCTTTAAAAAATGAATTTATTGTTGAAAATGCAATGCGAATATAGCGTGGCAAAAATTATCAATTAATAAATATATCAGCTAAATAATTAAAAAGCGCCAAAAAACTCAGTGAAAAAAAACGCTTCAGTTATATGATTAATGATTTGTAACATGAAATTTTACAGAAAAAGAAGTAATTTAGTGTCAAACGTTTTCTCCAATTTTACCTATGATAAGTGTATCTGTGTGGGCCACAGTTCAGAAATTATAAAATAGAAAAGAACTTACTCATATTTCCCATCATAGAGCTCACAGTGACCAATGAGACCAGGCCCTCCAATTTTTGGGTGCTGAAATATCGTGAGGAAGAAGAAGAGAACAAGAAAATTTGAGATGATGAGAAACTCAGAAATCCATTGAATGGGGGAAAATTTTTGAACTTAATGTTGTCACTGGTTATAACAGGTTCATCACCCATTTTAAAATTTTGAAGGTCAGAGTCATAACTTATAGATGCTGAATGCTTCTGAATTTATAAAACTATGGTTCAAGAAATCTTACCTGCGGTGCCAGTGAGAGAAATTTGTATTTATCCAAAGCATATCGAACAAAAGCCTCATTCTCCCCAGGGTTTATTGTGCAACTACAATTAGTCAAACACAAAATAGCTGATATCAGTGGTGAAGCTCCTTAACCGTTTCACAAATGCATGATATGAAAGTTCCTCTAACCATTATATCAAAACTCTTGAAGTTTGATAAGGCTTGAGACTTATAGTTCTATATTCTAACATGCCCCCAATTAGTTGAACGCCCTTTTTTATGGGCTGAAACATGGACTCACATAGAGGAAATAATTTTTTTTAATCCGCATTAAATTCGAGGCCAGCAAGATTCGAACCGGGGTTGGCTCTGATACCATGTGAAAATCCCTCTAACCATTATATCAAAACTCTAAAGTTTGATAAGGCTCGAGGCTTATAGTTTTATATTGTTACACATGACATTGAGTTTAACAAAGAGTAAAGTGTTAACTCCTGGAAGAGTTGGACCATTTTAAGAATGAAAAAGAGTATTTAATTGAATACATGCTTTCAATTTACATCTTACAGTTTAAGGAAATAATAACTTATAAAGCAAGAGCGAAATTAGTCAATAATTCTCATGAGATAAAAATATCATTCAATATAATTTTCTATAGATACTATATAAAGTTATCTTAAGAAGTATTAGAGTTCCGTGATATTAAAGATCAGTTCGGTTTACAAAGGTTTAATACTTACTTCTTCCTAAATTTTATGGAGCTATAGTTATATAAAAGCAGATCGGGCATTTTCTAGTTGCATCCGGATGTATATTTTGCCATTTAGTCAGTAGTCTTGGCAATGAAGCTGATAACTATTTTCAATGCAATTAGAGAAGGAGACCAGTGCACACACTTCTACTCTTGCACGATCACATCAGGAGCTGAAAAATGTCCACTAGAGCAAATTCACTTAATTCAATCACAGCTTCTATAAATATGCTAGTCATATGCTTGCTATATGCCACAAAGAAGTTAGGCGCTTCTGAAAATTAGTATCCTAGCTTTTAATCTTATGCCATGGTTGATGCCATGGCTGATGCCTCGATGGTTCTGTAGAGAAATTATGTATGACATAAGATATTGAAGAGGATAGATAGATATGCTGGGAAAAGATCTAAAAGGACGTAGCATCTTGTAAATTCTCACAGCAGCACCGTCATCTTCCATATGCAGGAATTAGCTTGCCTTCTAAACCCTCTTAACTAGAATGAGAATGCAACAGTTTTTAATCCTCTTAGAAGCCAGCTTGTATCTTCTGTTCACTGCTTCTTCTTGTCATTACCCATACTCTTCTCAATTAAATTTTTCTCAATCCTTAGTTGACTTTTGTCTGAAACTTTATATGCACACCAACTCCACCAAATTTTCTGAATTTTACTTCTCTAAATTTAATCCCATTAACTAGTGAATTTTCAGAATCACTGTCAATCAACATTCAACAAAATATTAAAGCAAATCAGAAATGGGCACTTACGTTGAGTACACAATAACGCCGCCGGTGCGAACTAGTTGAATGGCCTGATCAAACATCTTTTTCTGATACCTCGCATGATGGTGCAAAGACTCTAATGTTTCCTAATATTGGGCAACATGTAAATATCAAGTCTGCAAGGCAAGTAAATAAACAAAAATTGTAGGCCAACAAGAACAATAACATACAAATTTAAAAATAACGTAAAAGAAGTTGCACTTAGTCTACTAACAACGTTTCCTCTCTATTTTTATTCCTAGATTTGTTTGTTTAAAAACATTTTAAATGTTTGAGTAAGATTAAATGAATAGGGGATAGAGAAAATGTAGAGCATACTAAATGAAAATAGAAAATTTAGAAACTATGATACAATACACAATTTAAAAGGCACCGAAGATGACATATATGCATAATTCTGTATAGCCTATGGACAACGATCCCCAAAGATGATATATATGCATCTTTAATAATCATCCTCCCTCTCCCAGAAAAATATAGAAGTGACAACAAAATACATGCATAAATTAGCCGATTAGTTGCTTGAAATAAGGATCAGAAAGAAATTGGGAATGTCAGTTACAAAGGGAGGGAGGAAAAAAGCATTATACTAGGCTTCAGCTGCTCCTATCAAGATTTCTGTTGATTGAGCATAGAGTTTGGTGCTTCAACCTGAGTAAAGACCACTAAGGTCCTTACATTTAAGCTTTTGCAAGCACTGCTGACAGCTTCAAGACTGCAGTGTAATAAACATGCAATTACCCAGGTTCAGGAACACTAGTGGACAAAGAAGCATTCTTAATGTGCAATATCTTATTTTGCAGTTTCCAAACCCCTCAATTCATATTTCTAGCACTCGAAGATATAAGTAATGAACAGTGCAACTCTGTCTTAAATTTGTAACTATTTTCACTCCCTTGAAAGTTATCAAGTGAACTTTACATAGCGCTTTCATTTAGTATGTCTGATGTTTTCTTAACAAGCAAAGAAGGAAGATAACCATCTAAGCATCCACCTTGTTTGGTTCACATGGACATACCATTGGAAACATGGATATGCTAACAAAGTTATCAGCCAATTTGAATGTGATGTGGTCCATCCTTTGAGGCTTTCATCGTTAAGGTTTTAGCCTCAACAATTTTCAGAATTGAGTCTTTATAAAAACTTCAGCTCTCACATGTATTCATGTTCTCCTGAGCCCTTTATTGTGCTTAGTGACTCCAAGTCACTGTTAATGCAAACCACCACACGTTTATTACCTTTGAAAAGCCTAAAATTTGCATGATGATTAAAGAAGTTGATATTTCAAAGCATGCTAAGCTTCCCTATTTTAATTAACCTGGATCTTAAAATCCTATTTATTAATCCAGATCTATTATAAATCACCTGACTTTATGGATGCCATTATGGTTACAATGTTTTAACGGTTGTACGAGGCTCTAGAAGCTCGTGAGTCTTGACTTTGCTATAAAAAAGACTACTGTACTGTTTAACTAGATTTTTTTCTCCTATTCCAAACAATCATTTATACATAGACTTGCTGAAAGTAACCAATGAAGTTATGAACATTTCATTAGCCTGAAAATGTCTCTCTTGTTGCCACAATCATTCACACATTATTTTGGCTGCAAGTGGCGAATGAATTGATTGTTGGCGCCTGTGGTTAAAACTGGAATAATACAGATATATAACAGCAAAAATCTGAACAGAAAACTGAAGGGCAGTAATTTAAATTTTTCAACTCAGCTGCTGTGCGTTTGTAAAACGCTGTGCTTAAAGCATTATTTGGCCTGCTCCGGTGCAAGGATCCCAAGGCCAAATTGCTTCTAGGAACAGCAGTCCAGTACTCTGGTGTGCACCAACCCAGTACTGTCAAGATCTCCTCGATCTATAAGGCAAAGATCTCCTCGATCTATCAGGCAAAGATCTTCTCGATCTATCAGGCAAAGATCTCCTCGATCTCCTCAGGCAAAGATCTCCTCGATCTATAAGACCTTCTCGGTCTAGGCATTGTTCCTATTAGCACTAGCTATTCTACAATATATATCTGTATATATTGATTGTTGTTTTTGGAATGAATTTTCCTTAAGGATTTGAGGTCTATTTATAGCGTTTGGAAAAACACTATGCACTAATAAAATATTATTAGTTACTATTCATGTGGGACCCATGTCCTATAAATTTCTTCGGTGGGGCCCACCACTTTATTTAATTTCAAACTTGCGGGACCCACCAAATTTGTTTTTCTTCAAAAATGTCAAAGAAGGAGACTTCTTTGTCAAAGAAGTTAGGCATTTAAAAAAAAAGGTAGCTTTGTTAAACACGAGGGCGGCTGAGTTCCCACAACAAAACAAAAAAAAATTATCCAACAATCCCCCACAAATTTTTTTTTATATAACTAGTGTCGTGTAACAGTACCGACGTTTCAATCTTGTGCATAAGGAAGATGTCGTAATGACTTGAATCTCCATTAGACCAACTGAATAAAAGATAGGTGCATGGTGTCGCAGAGACTTGAACCAGCACATGTCTAAAATCCAGCGATCGCACAAGATCAAACTTATCTGTGGTAGTTTTCACTTTGAACCACACTTGCCTTTGTCTTTGCCTTTGCCTTGCCTTGCCTTTGCACATTTATGGCCCTATGCATGTCCTGGTTTCTGCTAGGGCTCTAGGTATCTTTCCACAAGACACCATAGGAGACGGTCAAATCTCCACCCATGCATAGGTGAGTTCTTTAGGCATGTTTCCTATCAAACATCCCGCATTCGAAATGCTTTGAACTCATTAAGGCTTAAGAGCCATCCTCTCTCATGATAGGATTCTAGGTGAGTCCTTTAGGTGTGTTTCCTATCTAACACCCCACATCCGAAATGCTTTGGACTCATTAAGGCTTAACAGCCATCCCCTTTACATGATAGGATTTTAGGTGAAAATATCAAAGTTTTACTCGGGTAGTTCAGCCAGGTAAGGATAGTATTAGAGGTTGATCAAAGATCAATTAAGTACCTCGTTCCTTGCGGAGCGCGTTACGCAACCCCTAAACCTTACCTTAGACACCGACTAATCCAAGAAAACTTGAACTCTTTCACTTGTAAATCTTACTTGACTTTTGAACCATTTATCTTGTCATTAGTAGCATAAGCTTTGAACTAAAGACTTGACATAAATAGTAAGTATTTGTAAAACTTACAAAACTTTAAGACCCATTCCAGCAGACGTCCTTTCGACTATGTCCTTTTTCAGACTCTTAGTCAAAGGATCAGCCACATTCTCTGAAGATCGGACGTCAATCACAGAGATGACTCCTTGACAAATGAGCTCTCTCAAATAGCCATGCTTCAGACGAATGGTCCGCTTCTTTCCATTGAACAACGAGTTTGCTGCCACAGCACTCGCCGCCTGATTATCACAATAGATAGTAATTGCGCCTTGCAATCCTGTCAATGGAAGGTCTCGGAGAATACAACTGAGCCACTCAGCTTAATCTCCTGCAACACAAAGTGCGAAGAACTCAGATTCCATCGATGACTGTGCAATCATTGTCTGCTTCTTAGACTTCCACGAGACGGCAGCTTCACCCATGGTGAAGACAAATCCTCCAGTAGATCTGCACTCATCTGGTTCTGAGTACCAGCTCGCATCTGAATAGCCTTCGATTACACCCGAATATCCAGTGTAGAATAAGCCCAGACCTGTAGTTCCTTTCAAGTATCTCATCAATCTCTGGATGACATCCCAATGAAGCTTTCCAGGATTACTTGTGAACCTACTAAGCATTCCTACAGCGAATGCTATATCTGGCCTCGTGTTTAACAAAGCTACCTTTTTTTTAAATGCCTAACTTCTTTGACAAAGAAGTCTCCTTCTTTGACATTTTTGAAGAAAAACAAATTTGGTGGGTCCCGCAAGTTTAAAATTAAATAAAGTGGTGGGCCCCACCGAAGAAATTTATAGGACATGGGTCCCACATGAATAGTAACTAATAATATTTTATTATTGCATAGTATTTTTCCAAATGCTATAAATAGACCTCAAATCCTTAAGGAAAATTCATTCCAAAAACAACAATCAATATATACAGATATATATTATAGAATAGCTAGTGCTAATAGGAACAGTGCCTAGACCGAGAAGGTCTTATAGATCGAGGAGATCTTTGCCTGAGGAGATCGAGGAGATCTTTGCCTGATAGATCGAGAAGATCTTTGCCTGATAGATCGAGGAGATCTTTGCCTTATAGATCGAGGAGATCTTGACAGTACTGGGTTGGTGCACACCAGAGTACTGGACTGCTGTTCCTGAAAGCAATTTGGCCTTGGGATCCTTGCACCGGAGCAGGCCAAATAATGCTTTAAGCACAGCGTTTTACAAACGCACAGCAGCTGAGTTGAAAAATTTAAATTACTGCCCTTCAGTTTTCTGTTCAGATTTTTGCTGTTATATATCTTGTTGTAATCATACGGCACTAACAGTTCTGGCAGGTCGTAGTAGCCATACTTCCTTAGCATACTTTCGACATAATGAGATTGAGACAATCTAATACCCTCTTCAGAGTATATGATTTTGATTCCGAGGATCACGTTCGCAGTTCCAAGGTCCTTCATGCTGAACTGTGCCGAGAGAAATTTCTTGGTAGATGTTACTATCTCCAAATCACTCCCGATGATGAGCATATCATCCACATAGAGGCAGATGACCACCACCTTTCCTTCAGCGACTTTGATGTATAGGCACTTGTCAGATTCACTGACTTGATACCCATTGTTGCGAACAACCCCATCAAATTTCTCATGCCAGAGTTTTGGTGCCTGTTTAAGTCCATATAAAGACTTAACAAGTTTACAAACCTTACCAGCTGGAGCATCAAGTCCTTCTGGTTTCTCCATGTAGATCTCTTCTGTGAGATCACCATTGAGAAAGGCAGTCTTCACATCCATCTGATGTATGACGAACCTTTTAATCGCTGCCCATGCGATAAGCACTCTGATGGTAGTGATCCTGCAAACTGGTGCATAAATATCAAAGAAGTCTATACCTTCTTTCTGAGAGAATCCTTTAGCCACCAGTCTTGCTTTGTACTTTTCAATAGTACCATCAGGACGAATCTTCTTCTTGAAGATCCACTTGCAACTGATAGGCCTAGCACCTTCAGGTACATCCACCAGCTCCTACGTGTGATTTTGGATCAATGAATCCATCTCATCATCTATAGCTTCTTTCCACAGAAGAACGTCTGTTGACTGCATCCTCTTGTGCATCTGATGTACTAGCATTCTCTGCTACATCTTTGAGCAATAAGCCTTTATGTTTGATAAACTTATCCTCAAAGAATTCTGCATCCCGAGCTTCAATGATGGAGTTGGTTCCAAGGTCCAGGAACCTGCACGCATTGCTATCTCCTGCAAAGCCAAGAAATACGCATTTATTTGCCTTTGGTCCGAGCTTAGGCCTTCTGATATCTGGTATTCGAACGTATGCGAGACACCCCCACACTTTGAGATTATCCAAAGAATCTAGATATCCCAACCATAACTGATGAGGAGTATTATCAGTTTTGGAGTAGGGTACTCTGTTCAAAATCCAGTTTGCCATTAGTAAAGCCTCTCCCCAATAGCAGGTAGGTAGACCAGATGTGATCAGCATCGAATTCACCATCTCGGTCAATGTGCGATTCTTCCTTTCTGCAATCCCATTAGATTGCGGAGAATACGGAGCAGTAGTTTCAGCAATGATTCCATGCTCCTTGAAGTATGCTTTCGATTCCTTGGATCGGTATTCTCCTCCTCTGTCGCTCCTGAGTCTTTTCACCTGCAGTCCAAGCTGTTTCTCCACTCGAGTCCGAAACTCGACAAATTTGCTGAAGGCTTCATCTTTAGATTTCAGCAGGTAAACGTGGCAGAAGCGAGAATGGTCGTCGATGAAGGTGATGAAGTACTTCTTGCCGCCACGAGTGACGAAGCTTTTGAAGTCACAAGTATTCGAATGAATCAGATCCAATAGGTTGGTGCTCCTCGTAACACTTGAAAATGGCTTCCTTGTCAGCTTTGCTTGCGCGCAAACTTCACACTTCTCAGGTTTGTTACCCCCACATTTTGAAAGTAATCCTAACTTCTCCATGCTAGACAGTTTTCTATAATTTACATGTCTCAGCCTATTGTGCTATAACACAGAGGAGTAAGCAGAAGATGATACTTCATTTACAACGAGATTAGGTGCACTCGTACTGATTTTATACATGCCATCAGTACGATATGCATTGCCAAAATACATTTTCTTAAAGGATAATACAGTCTTTCCTCCTTGGAAATCCAGCCTCATGCCTGCATCACACAGCATGCTTCCAGAGACTAAGTTTTTGACAATTGAGGGAACGTGTTTCACATCCTTCAATGTGAGAGTCTTTCCCGAAGAAAGAGTCAGCACCACAGTCCCCGTTCCAAGAACAGGAACCACAGAACGATCAGCCATTGATACGTTCTCTTTGGTAGCAACATAAGAAGAGAACATATCTCTATTGGAGCATACATGACAAGTAGCACCCGTATCTAACCACCAACTAGAGATGTTGCTTGGAGTTGTTACCTGGAAGAGCATAGCCACACAATCATCAACTTGATTGACATTGTGTGTTGTTTCCTTCTTTGGTGCTTTGCAGTCTTTGGCAAAATGTCCTTGCTTCCCACAGTTGAAGCATTTGCCGCTCTTCTTGAACTCCTTCTTTTGAACGTTCAGGTTCTTCGGATTTTGGTTCTTCCTTCTATTAAAAGACTTTTTCTTCTTGAAAGATGAATAATTACCCTTTTCAGAGTTAGTCGCCACCATGTTAGCAGACGTCTTCTGCTTAGCAAGTAGCTCAGTCTTCGTGTGAGTCCGAGTCTCGTCCTCGATCCGGATGAACCTCTTCAAGTCAGACAGAGTCACCTGTCTTTTCCTTCTTCGAATGTCAGTGGAGAATGACATCCAAGATGGAGGAAGCTTGTTGACAATTGCACCAGAGATGAAGGTTTGACAAATACTGATCTTTTCATCCTTCAGCTTCATAACAAGTTTTTCAAGCTCTTTAACTTGAGGCAAAACCTCAGTATCATCTTCGAACTTTAAGTCCAGAAACTTGTCAATGAGGTGAGATTTGGACAACTTCTCCTCATCCTTATACTGGTCCTCTAGAGCATTCCAGATTTCCTTTGCAGATGGCTTGTTGGTGTAAGCATCTGCTAGATGATCGGCCAGGCAGTTAAGGAGATAACTCCTGCAGAAATGATCATCTTTAGCCCAAGAGGCTTCAGCTTCAGAGTCTTCTTCAGAGTCGGGTTTTTCCTCAGAAACCACATAGTAGATTTTCAGGAGTTGCATCCCGAAGATTACTTTCCGACGCCATGCGTTGAAGTTGGAACCGTCAAAGTTCTCTAACTTAAGACAGTCCACTCCAAGAATCCTCGTAGGATCCATGGTAGATCAAAATAATGCTTTAAGATTGTTGGCGCCTGTGGTTAAAACTGGAATAATACAGATATATAGCAGCTAATAACTGAAAGAAAGCTGAAGTACAGTAACAGGCAAAGATCTCCTCGATCTATAAGACCTTCTCGGTCTAGGCACTGTTCCTATTAGCACTAGCTATTCTACAATATATATCTGTATATATTGATTGTTGTTTTTGGAATGAATTTTCCTTAAGGATTTGAGGTCTATTTATAGCGTTATAGCGTTTGGAAAAACACTATGCACTAATAAAATATTATTAGTTACTATTCATGTGGGACCCATGTCCTATAAATTTCTTCGGTGGGGCCCACCACTTTATTTAATTTTAAACTTGCGGGACCCACCAAATTTGTTTTTCTTCAAAAATGTCAAAGAAGGAGACTTCTTTGTCAAAGAAGTTAGGCATTTAAAAAAAAAGGTAGCTTTGTTAAACACGAGGGCGGCTGAGTTCCCACAACAAAACAAAAAAAAAATTTATCCAACATTGATGAGCATTTCATTAACCTGAGGGGAACAGTACTGTTAAGAGACAAAAAAAATTCTGCAGTCACCAACTCCTAGCTTCATCTTCGTCCAGAACACTCATAAAGCATAAGCATCTATGCAAGCCTAATTTGTGTAGTTTATCGCGCAATTGTCATGTTTTGTCCTGTGAATATTTTTCTGCAAAATGAGTATGCCCGCTTCTCTTCCAGATGAGACCACCATCGTAAAAAAAAGGGAAGGAATTATCATTGGACAAGTCATGCTTTAATTTACATGTTTTACCTGTAAACTAGTCCAAAATAATAGAAATAAAATCTGGCACTGTTCTAGATCGATCTCTTTATTTCTCTCGAAACACAAAGTTTTGGTGTATCTTATTTTCATTTTGTTAGCTGCACCTAAATAATGGGTGGAGGCCCCAGGAAAGGTTTCTTCTTTGTTGTTTATGATAAGTTCATCAACAAGAATTTACATGTTCCTTCCATGAATTTGGAAATGCTAGGTATATGTTGTTCAGCAACAACCATATTTCAATATTCGAAATATGTTTACCATTTCGCAAAAAAAAATTAGATGTAACCTGGATGCTGTAGTAGATTTTCTATATTGACTAGTTAAAATTGCCTACACAGCAAAAGAACGAACAAACTAGCATTCTCACTTTGAACCATCTAGAATATCTTTCACTTCACTGCATGCCTCAAAGTTTGCAGAATACCATAAAACAGTTGCTAAACTTCTAATCTATCATTTGTTTGGTACTGATACTAACACAGTATTATATCAGATCCAAATACCTGACTTAACTCTTAATGCTTATAGTTCTGAAGGTTGCACATCCAATTTAAGATTGCAGCAGGTACAGTAAGTTCCATGTTTTTAGTATAAAATCAGGCTTAAAGGTTATGCATAAAGGTAAAAGAATGTGAAACAAATGTAAGCAGCAGATAAAACTATAAAGAAAAAGGGTAGAAATAAACTTTACCTCCCCAGCAAATAACAAATGTAAGCAGCAGATAAAACTATAAAGAAAAAGGGTAGAAATAAACTTTACCTCCCCAGCAAATAATCGAGGTCTAAGACCAAGGGCAGAACAAAAGAAAAAGGGTAGAAATAAACTTTACCTCCCCAGCAAATAATCGAGGTCTAAGACCAAGGGCAGAACACGGAGCATCAAGAAGAACCCGGTCGAAACTATTAGGCATATATCCCTTTGAAATTTCAACTCTTGCACCCATACAATTTCTTCCCGGCCCATTTCTCATTCTGCGTGCATCTTTCCTAAGGTCGGCTTTGCTTAGATATCTTCCATTACTTGTTTTTCCACTGCTGGCTGAATTGAAGAATGACAAGAATGATAGTCATCAAGGATTTAGATCAATAAAGCATGAATGTTAAGAGTATGGCATGAGTAGTTTAACCCTTCTATAGCACTTATTAGTACTAAAGCTGCGGAAAAATATCCTAAAAGAAATAATTTGTTATTGATGATTTAATCACTACTATTATACATGAATAACACTAACACAAAACACTGTTGGTAGTTAAATTATCTGCCCATGCTCCAGAGATTGATTATACATGAATAACACTAACACAAAACACTGTTGGTAGTTAAATTATCTGCCCATGCTCCAGAGATTGAAAATTCTAAATAGCCACAAGACAAACAAACTGTTGGTAGTTAAATTATCTGCCCATGCTCCAGAGATTGAAAATTCTAAATAGCCACAAGACAAACAATAAACTGCTACTTCTATATTTTACACACATATGTCATTAACACAATCACTCTACAATCTGGAAAGCAAGTAATGTTGCACTGTGATGCTTTGACATCTGTCACCTCAGGCATTTTTAAGATAAAGTCAAAAGCTTGCCACAGCATTAATCTAAGCTAATTAGATTTTCCCAAGAGATTGTCATGGTTATGGCTATTCAGCACAGATCAGCATAATATATTATTATCAACTAAATCAAGGCAAAGTAGAATAGTTTACATTCAAACCTACGTTGATATGTTCCCATGGATGTGTCGTATTAGAGGATACACACATATTTATTTGTAAGGGCACATCAGCATGGGACTATTATTGCCTCTCACTTTGTCCTCTTCAACTATTCATAAAACTGTAATTTGCCGGAGCATATCAGATATGTACTTTCGGACAACTGAGCAGGCAGGCAGGTTCTGGAAGCAAGCTAATTTACTTTTATATCAGACTCATTG